ATGTGTATTCCCAAACAAGAACTCCTCTTTAGATATTACTTTAATTCCCTAATCCCACAGTTTTCCTCCAAAAGGCTGATGAAATCAACCTGGTTTATATTTAAGTTTCAGGAGGAAGAGAGTTGATTTCATTAAGTTTTTCCTGACAACTCCGGTTTACACTTTGCTAGTATCTGATACTGACCATGCAGTATACTAGACTGTGGTTTTAGCTTTTACAATGAGAAATATGTAAAATACTATCTTCTAAGAGATAACAAAATATTTCCCTACAGATTTCTGTTCTTCAAATTTCTGTCAAAAGACATAATCTTGGCCAAGTCTGCCCTACCAAAAGCAATAAATGGTCATTTGCATGGCTAATTCAGCCCAGAGCAAAACTCAAACTGATTTGAGTGCCCAAGGACAGGCCCTCACAAAGTAGCCAGCTCTGTCAGTAATGATTGAACAGTATGTGAAGTGAGGAAACCAACCTGTGAATCAGACAAATTACTTCCACTCTTCCTATTAATTGTGCTGGCAGAATTTGAAAAGGTGGCTCCCTAGAGCCACATCACGGTTCACAGAGGCATTGCCCCTGGAAGAAGGATGCACGGTAGGACAGGGGCATAGAGCAGAGAGCTCCTAGAGGGCAGGAACTCTGAAGTGCACCTAGCATGAATTAAGAAGCACAACACCTTTACCACATCAGAGGTAATGTGTGCACCCTGCTGTATTTTTATCAACCCTTTGAAGCGAGACACTGATTGCAATGTAAAGGTGAGCAAATAGTACTGTCATTCATTGTGCAACATGTGTTTTCAAAGCTTGGTCAGTGCTGGAAGGAGCGCCTGAAGCCAGGCCTGGCACAGCAGCATTTTCCCTGCAAAAACCTCTGTGCTGCCCAAAAGCCTCCCTCTCCTAACTCAGGGTAAAGTCCAAAGAGAGCCAGGAGCATAGCAGGCCTTAAAAGTGCCTTGTGGCCATTCCTCCCCACAGAGGAGCTCTCTGGCTAACTTCAAAGTGAGGACCTGCAAAGCAGGATAAAAGGGCATCCAGGGCTGTCTTCTCCCGCAGGAGGCACCTTATGGGGTCCTGTGCCTAGCAGCCTTTTTTGCTTTGCTAGGTCACTGTCTTTCCCTGTTCGTAAGCACCTCTGGCAGCAAAGGCCTCCAGGTTCTCTGGAGCTCGCTCTCCCTGCAGGGCTTCTGCTCAAACTGCAAACAAGGAGCCTCTCCAGGGCAGCTCGCAGCTATGGCAGCTGCTGCCCTCTCCTGCCAGGGTGATTGGCAGTCAGTGCCGGCAGCTGCCAGCTGAGCCAAAAGTAAGAGCAGAGCAGATAATCAGCATATCCACTAACCCTCTCCGGCGTTTTGCCAAATGAAATTTATATACAATATCAGCTGGACCTTAAGAATAATTATGGTAATAAGTTGGTCCTTTGACGGAAAATGAAAAAGAACTAGAAAATAAGGATGATAGCAGCCCTTCTTTCAATAGTAACATACATAAAGCTTAACTTCAATCTCACACTGAAACACATCCAAATGCAACTGGAAGACCAGAAACTACAAAATATATCCTCCTTGTCATTAATTATATTTATCTGTATAAGCTGTAGTTTACATCTGTCCTGTTTTTGGCTGGGATAGAGTTAATTTTCTTCCTAGTGGCTGGTATAGTGCTATGTTTTGGATTTAGTATGAGAAGAATGTTGATAACACAGTGATGTTTTCAGTTGTTGCTAAATAATGTTTATACTAGAGTCAAGAATTTTTTAGCTTCTCATGCCCAGCCAGCAAGAAGGCTGGAGGGGCACAAGAGTTTGGGAGGGGACACAACCAGGACATCTGACCCAAACTGGCCAAAGGGGTATTCCATACCGCATGATGTCATGCCCAATATATAAACTGGGGGGAGTTGGCTGGGGTGGGGGTGGATCACTGCTCAGGAACTGACTGGCCATCAGCTGGCGGGTGGTGAGCAATTGCATTGTGCATCACATGTTTTGTATATTTCAAGTATTTTATTATTATTATTGTAATTTTATTATTATTGTTAGCTTTATTGTTTTCTTCCTTTCTGTCCTGTTAAACGTCTTTATCTCAACCCACAAGTTTTACTTTTTTTCAGATTCTCTCCCCTGTCCCACTGTGTAGGGAAGGAGTGAGCGAGTGGCTGCGTGGTCCTTAGTTGCTGGCTGGGCTTAAACCACGACATCCTCACAAGACAGTTTCTAGGTATAGAAAACGTTAAATGATGCCTCCCTCATTTAGGTCAAACTATGTGATCCTGACATATAGATGTTTGTGCTATCTGCCACTTCTAGATTCAGAGCAGTTTAGATTTTATAAAGAAATAGTTCTTGGCTGTTTCCCAAGAAAAGTGAACTGATCCTCCTTCAGACCCTTTCCTCCTTCAGGACTCTGAAACAATACATAAAGCAAGAGCAGTCAGTGATGATTAGGGGGAGTGTCCCCGACAGCTTGTCACTGCTTCCTGTTTGTGTCACAGGTGTTCCCTGGGATGTGTCAACTTTGAAGCCAAAAGACATATCCGGTTATTTCTGTCATCCAGTTTAACAAGGAGCACCTCTATATGCATCCCAAACATATTTTCCCTTACAACTCTGAGTCGCAGTGTCTGCTTAGAATTAACATGCCACTCACAGACTAAGTAACCAGTTTTATAATTAGAGACATTACCTTATGACAGGTAAAAGAATTGAGCCATCCTTAGGTGAAAGAAGACACTTAGGCATCATCAAGAGTGAGAAAGGAGGAAATGAGCAGGCTATGCTTCACATAATGTGCACTCACATCCAGTTCTGCAGGAGGTAAGCAATTGGACCAGTAGTTTGCATACCCTGCAGTTACTTATTAATAGTATGGCCATTATGCAAATTAGGCTTCCCTAGTCAAATGCTGGGGATGTGCAGGAAAGAGAAAAGAGAAATAACTATACATTTTTGAGTTAATAAATGTATAGCTTCTTCAAGCTCTGCCAGCCAACAAAATTTAATCTCAGTGTCCTTAAATGTTTCAGACTGGGTTGGGTTGGGTGTTAACTCAGAAGCCCAAATGCTTCCTAAGAGCTAAGAACATGATGGTATTTAGCAATAGTTCTCTTCCTTTTTCATCTTTGCCCAACTGAAAACAAAAAGACACATATGCCACATAAGTGACACATCTTAAATAAATACTATTTATTTATTATCTAAATACTGGCTATTTAGATTCCTACCTATGAAAACTAAGAAAATTACCTGAATATATGGCATACCTTTATATAGAGGTGACCCTGTTTTTCTTCTCATTTGGGTTGGTAAAGCTTTGACCTAGGGTATAAGGTGACCTCCTCCATGTTTTCCAGCCATGTGCTGCTCCTTTTGCTGTCTGCCTCAGAGGCGTCACCTCCTCCGCCCGGTGCTTATTTAGCTAACTGCTTTTCACCACATATATCCTTGCATGGCTCCTCTTGTGAAACCTCAGCCCTTAAATTACTGTGCAAAATGACAGTGAGGTGATTTGCCTGAGTCCTGTATCACTGGCAGGCCCTGAGTCCTGCCAAGCTCCTGCAAGCACTGTGAAGATGCTGCTTCGCAGAGGAGTGAGGTACCACTTGCATTCAGCAAGACAACTTGTCCTCAGCATCTGTGGGAGGCAGATGGAGGCATGAGCTGTAGTGCAGTCATCATCAACTCCCTTAGCCAAGGTAGATTTTCAGGGCAGTTTCCTCTGTAAAGAATAAGAAAGCACCACCTTGCATTGAGGCAAGTAAGATCTTTTTAAAGAGTGGTTGTTTTTGAATACTGCAGCTCACATATGAAACATAGAAAAAAAAAAGCAACATAAAATACAAAGCAGGTCTTTTCCATTTGGGGTGTTATTACTGATTAATATGGACTGAGGGTGACTATGATGTACTACACTCTCTCCTTCTCCTTACGAGCTGCTCCTTTCCACTCTTCTTGGCCTTTTGATAAAAGAGAGCCCTTCTCTTGCCTCCCTGCATTGTTTTAGCTGCAATCATATTAGTATGGGAGGCTCTTGACTGGCTGAGGTGGCTGAAATTGTCATCAGAGTTATGTAGATCACTGCTGAGGCTGACTGAGTAGAGGGGCTTGGAGAAAAGTCAGAATACAGAGAATTTCCTACATATTAAGATCATTGAGAATTATAGCTGCTGAAAGGAGAAGAAAAAAACTTCAGCAGAAGTAAAAGTAGTTGTATGTGTGAAAGCAGAAGATGCGTAAGTGATGTAAAAACTTGACTCATGGTTCTGCCGTCTCACTGTTAGAACTGCACAGTACCTCTGTCACCACAACAGTTCAGTGCAATTTAGAAAAAATAACAGGAGAGGTTAAGTCCACTCCATTCATTTATGCAGAAACACAGGATTTTCCAGGCCAGATCACACGGTGGTTTGATGACTTCCAGTGCCTAAGCTCCAGAAGTGATTAGTGTCAGGGCATTTGCCTGCCTCTGTCCTGACCCCTGAGTTAGTTACCCATATGGACTGTTCTGCTGCGCTTTGCGTAGAGAAGAGAGAGGAATCTCTTCAGAGTGCCCCGCAATGCAGAGCCTGACTGCTAACAGTATGACAGTGTGCCGGTGACAGCCCAAGCACGTTTCTGTGACACCTCTTGAGGAGTACATGTGGGTCCTCTGTCTCCAGCCGTGCCATAGGACGTGCACCGTCAAGCCAGCTGTGGAGATCCTGTGGGATTTCAGAGACCGGAGCTGAATGCCGTTGGCCTTCTGGCTCCAGTTTAAGGAGTGTTCAGAATTTCCAGTGGGATTCGCCAGGCTGCACGGGGGGGAACGTGTCTGGTCTGTCGAGCGGGTGAATGAGAGTCATCATCAGGCTGAAACTGTATGATATAAAACAAAAGATAAGATCCATGGACTGGAATTAAACCTGACAGGAAAAAAAAGAATTCTAGAGGCAGGAATGGTTTTAATAAATCTAAAATGTTGTTTACAGGCTAAACCAGCCAAACTACTGGGAGCTCTCAGAAGATGGCGGGAACTCAGGTCTCATCTCAAATGCCACCGGCCTGTTTCACGACACTTAAGGTACAGGTTGGGGCGCGCTAGGCGCAAGAAGCAGTGCCGGGGAAAGGCGGCGCCCCGCACCCCCCGGCGTTCACTAACGCGGCCAGTCCTCTCACGGTTGCCGCAGCCCTCCCAGGACTTCGGCGCCGAGAGCCACCGGGCACCCCGGGAGGCCGCCTGGTCAGGCGCGGCTCTCCGCTCTCGGTGAACAGCCCTTCTCCTCACAGCCGAGGCGGCGGCGAGGCGGCGGCGCGCGGCGGCCCCGCCGCCC